ATGATGGTTTGTCTGAGCAATGAAGATTTTATAGAGTAATTTGTGTTTAATTTTGTACCTTTTCTAGGGGTGGTGGATAGAATAGGGAAGATGACATGCTAAAGAAAATGTGTCACGTGGATCACACAAGGTAAATTTCAGGATTTGTTTGATGGCCTTGTTAAAATAAGAACTTAAAACTTATATACTTTTAAATATGGATTATTAGCTAAGATTTTATGCTATTCTAATTGGTATAACATAACCAAAAAGTAGTTTAATAAAATTTTGAATGTAAGACACTAAAACCTTGTGTCATGCGCAGTAAAGGATACCCATGGCGATAGTCACAAGAAGAAGTAAAATGTGTGTTCATATCTTCTACAAAACTTCAGAATTTTTCCTTGTTAAAGATTAATCCTCAACATAGAAGTTGTGTAGTTTACAAATTTTTTTTGCCAAACAAATGTGAGCACTTACATCAGTTTCATAAGTCCAGGGGAGAGGGTAAAAAAGAACAAAGTAATGCAAAAATTAACAAAGATTCATAAATTTTTCAACACGTACTCAAAAACTCTGATGCTGTAGTGTCTAAAGTTATAATTTTCTTATACTGAAAATGTATTTCTGATAGGTTCTTACCTTTCCTCAAGATTAGCTATTCTTATTGAGTGCTGCCCTCTATATGCAAAATTTTTCTTTACGCATGTCACAAGAATTACTATATTCCAATATGTCTCTCATGTAAATTATCATGTATCACCTCACCAATAGGAGCATGATATGCTCACATGACACATGTGACTCACTCTACCAACCCTTTACTTCGAAGTTTGGCAGAAGGTGTGAGCATTGGAGAAGTGAGGAGGAAGGGTTGGAAGTGTAAGCGGAAGTACCTATCAGAAATACATTTTCATTATAGGAAAATTATAACAGTACTTACCTCCTCTCATAAGATTAGCTATAATCCCACATTGAGAAGGAGGAGGGACCGGTGTGAGAGAACGAAAGAAGTACCCTCGAATGCATCTGATGAATACCCCTGACAATGAGAGAGATGGATCCAAAGATCAGAAGAGAGAAACTGCACCACTTCTGAGCCAGGTATACTCTTTGCCCAAGTATGGAATGTGTATGACATAAGGGCAGAAATTGAGGGGTGTAGAGTGGCTAGGGTGCGGTGGACCATATTCAGTAAGTCAATTACATCCAAAACCTCCTCACAGGGTACCGATATCCACGCAAGGGTAGGATGAGGATCATACTGTCTTCACCTCAAACTCAAGAATCGGGGATTATGACCCGAACCAATTTCTGGGTATGACACGAGGAATCAACATCTGGTATCAAAAGGACATCATTTGCACGGCATCAACTCCTGTGAAGACTTATGATGATTGATTCACTCTAATCCAAAAACTCTTAGCAAGGTACCAACATGCACACGAGGGTGGGATGATGCTTTACTCCAATGTTTATGTAAATGGAATCAGGAGGCCACATCAACCAGCAAGATGACAGCTCAACTCCTCAGGAGGCCCTTTCTTTGTGGAACTCATTCAGGAGGGTGCCTCCATGGTCAACCACCCCAGCAGCTTTAAACTGGAAAGGGGTAAGGAGGAAAGGAGGGTGGCAATGCAATGGAGAGACCCAAGGAACATCACCACTAGAGGCAGTGCAATGGGAGACCATGAAACTTTATTTTGAAAAGCAGATCATACTGAGTTGTTCACTCGAGGCATGGCAGTGACGGACAGCAAATCCCCTTCTGCTTTATCCATGCAGTCCATGGGTGGTACGGTCCAGGTCAGGCATTTGTATGAAGCAAAATATGATGAGGTTATTCACCATGAGATAAAAAGTTGTTTGCATGTACCACGAAAGAGAGCAGTACGTGCCACATACCAATGATAGGCTCTGACCAGACACAGAAGCCTATCCGGATCTGGTCTAGGGTAAAGATGGGATATAGAAGTGAAATAGGAGAAAAGGATGAACAACCTTCCAAGGTGCTGAGGTCTTAGGGAGAAAAGAACAATTGGGTTAAATGACGAGATAGTTAGGGTGATAAAGGGTACATGAAACGTCAATGGCATACAAATCCAACCTTCAATGTCCACAGGCTAACAGAAGGAGGAAATATGTTTTAAGGGACAGATGAAACAAGGAACACGAAGAAAGTGGTTCAAACAGAAGAAAAAGTAAGGGCATGGAGGACCACATTAATGTTCCAATCTGGAAGAGCTGGAGATCTGGGAGGTCAACATACCCAGATTAACACACGAGCATGGTAAAAACAGGGGATATAAAAACCTTACAGTATTGGAATACAGATATTCGGAAAGCAAGGAGACTGAAGACCCCACAGTTGAAGGTAAGCAATTCTGCCACATGAGCCACAGAAGGCTTGTCAGCAGGAAACCCCTTGTTAGCAGACCAACACCAGAATACTTTCCACTTGCGTTGGTATACTTCCATGGAAAATGGCTGTATGGAACGAGGCTAACAAGGAGGCGACTTGACGTGTGAAACCACCAAAGTAGAATTTTCCAAATGAACCATCACCAGACAATAATGGACAGGGAAAAGAAAGTGATGCAATGCCCAACATACTGCAAGAACGTTAATATGCAGACCAATGGCCCAAAGCTTCCCGGGGATTGGCCCATGCCCCCCTTGAAGGGATGCATCCATGAAAAGATGTGGATCCAGATGCTAGGGAGGAAGCAGCATGCCAGGCAATGTATGGGCTTTGTCCATTCACCAATACAAATCATCTCGTGGAGAAGTAGGAAGGGAAATGTGTATGGAAAGAGTATCCCAAGCAAGGTTCCATTGTTCATGAAGCGCTCTCTGAAGGGATCTCATATGGGCACGATCTAGAGAGATAAGTGCAGTCATGGAGGACCACATCCCCAAAAGCAATAGCACCTCATGAGCAGTAAGTGACAGAGCTCAGAGAGCATGGTGGACCAAAAGTTCCATTGAATAAATACATAAAGAAGGCAGAGCATGACTAACATTCATGTAAAAAAATACTCCCCAAATGAACTAGATATTGAGTGGGTTGAAGGAATGACTTCTCCAATTTGATCAACCAGCCCACCTGAGCCACCACAAAGAAGTTGAGGAGTATGAGTGGTCAATTCCTGCTTGGAATGATCCAATCATCCATGTAATAATAAAATTGCATCCCCAGAGCATGGAGATGATGTGTAAAAGCTCAGACTATGTGACAAAACACATACAGAGCTGAAGCAAGTTTGAAGGGGAGTGCTCAAAAATGGTAAACCACCCCGAGATGGAGAGGAGGAGCCTGGGCAATGTCAGGGGACAAAGGATGACCCATGTAGTGCTTAATCTACTGAAGTATAAAAGCAGAAAGATATTTTGTCAGGTTGCCCAGACAGAAAAAACTGATTGTTGGTTCGGAATTCATAGCACAAGAAAAGGTTCACAAAAGTTGAGTGCAGAAACAGTGACAAGAAGGAACTGGTATAAAATAAAGTCAAAAGGAACCATTTTGTGTGAAGAAAAAAATGTCACATTGGAAGCACTAGGCATACAAAAGAGTATATCTTAACTCAAATGCTGCCAAATGAGAAGTGAGGGTTTGGTAGAGGAGTGTAGGAGGAGTCAAATGTGAGCATATCATGCTACTATTAGTTAAGAGATGACGCATAATGATTTACATGAGAGACATGTTGGAATACAGTAATTCTAACAGGGGGTAGTGGAAGGCTTGTGTCATATAGAGGCAAGTTTGCATATAAAGGGCAGCACAGAACGAGAATAGCTAATTTTGTTGAAATATAGTAACAGGGGGGTAGCAGAAGGCTTGTGTCATATAGAGGCAAGTTCGCATATAGAGCGCAGCATAGAACGAGAATATCTAATCTTGTGAGAAGAGGTAAGTACCATATTGGAAAAAATGTATAAAATCACTGGAAGTATAGAGAACGAGATGCTGTTAAGAATTAAATAGACTCTTCAAAGTTGGTAAAAGAAGTATGCTGTAAACAACTAACAAACTGCTGCTGAGCTATTACTAGTCGTATACAGTACTTTATGTAACCTACTTAAATTTCTCATCTGCAATACACTGCCAAGTGAATATCTGCTGTTCTCTCAATCTTCTGTCTTCGATTTTAGCCATCAGAATCTTTTCCAACCTTTCCTCGAATATAATTACATGCCCAAAATATTGCATCTTCCAGTTCCTACATATATCCAGCAGTATATCACAAATAAAAACTGATACTTTACCACTTTCACACCTACCATGTAGCAATTCAAAAACACTTAACTAGTAAAATTTTCCAAGCTCAGGTTTTAAAGTTTCAAGTACAGTTCTGTACAACAGGGTATTTGATTCAGGTCAAGCTTGATTTTATATATCATAAAAGCTTCAATTTGTAGAACAAATTTACCATTCTCTCTTTATATTATAGAAAAATGCTATGATACATGTATAACACTTTGGCATATTAGAATTGGGACATGATTTTTTTGCTCAGTTAATCACTATTCCTTGGGTTAGCCTTAAGAATGGAACAAATATGCTCAATTTTTTCCATCATCATTGACAAATATCAGTGTCTTGTATGCAGAAGACTATATATTGGATCAACAATCCATTGTTTTCATGAGCATGATAACCCCAGGAAAGGTGATTCATAAAACATAATGCATCATGCCCTAACTTAATATGACCAAGCAGGTAGGTAAGAGGAATTCTCTATAGTAAAAAGAACAAATGATAAGCCAACATTGGAAATTAAAGAAGCCCTTCTGATGAACAAACTTATGGCTGAACCAAATCAAATGACTTGTCCCGTGATGCAGAAAGAAATGTTCAAGATAATATGGTTAAAAATTTCTACTGTTCTTTCCAAATTTACATGTAATGTTTGTAACAGTTTCTGAGTCACAGTAATAACTAAAGATATGAACACTGCATAGTTTAATTAATTTCTGTGTCCCCAAAATTTCCCAAACAACTGCATTAAAGAAAATTTCTGTACCTGTTATATTACCTTTAATTTTCTAAATGATACAAATAAACTTCACAGAGTAACATTTTATATTCATGAGCTTGAATCCAAGTACCAAACATCATAAGTGTAATGGAAATGTATTCAAAATGTCAACAACACTTTATAAAAACAAAGATTTAGAAGTATACATTTTTTTCAGTACCAGATACCGTCTTCTTTATCTGTGCTTATTTTCTTCTCTAGTTCTTGAACCTTGAACACTCCTCTCTCTGTTATGATTCCACCTGTTATTAATTCAGCTGGTGTCACATCAAATGCTGGATTCCAACAATTCATGTCTATTGATAGATATAGATGAAAATAAAGAATTTTTTACATGCCAAAATTACAGCTATGTACATAATCATGAGTAATGATCTTATTAAAATTAAAACATCACAGAACAAAATACAGTCAAAAATATAAGCAAGTATGAATAAATAATAAGTACAAAATTTAGATTAGTTTCGTGAGATATTCTTAAAATATTTTAACTTGTTAGGGACAGTATTCTCAGGATTTTGAATTCATTTTCTTGTGAGAGTCAGAACATAAATTGTTACAATAATGTTTTGTTAAGATCAACAAGAATCATATTATTTTTTGCCACACATGTTCACAATATAAATGTTATATGTAGTGCAGTGGCTTCTTATTAAGAAGCTTGTTATTATTCAAATACTAAAAGCTGCTCATTAATAATAAAATTTCTACTGATACCATGAATAATAATGATACAGTTGGTCATAAGCTGCTTAGATAATGTGAGTCACACACTGATACAGTGGTTCGTAAAATGATCAGATAATATGAGCTACAATGATAGTGGTAAAAAATAAACTATCTGCCAGCTCTACATATAATTAGACTGTACTTTAGCAGAAATCCATATTTTTCAAGCATTTACATTTAACAAAGTTATCAGTATAAGATTTCTTAGATTCAGATTAATTGAGGATGGACACAATTACACAATACCTCCTCACTTGAAAGTCTAGTCAGCAGTATCTCAATAAATATAGAAATACACAAACAAAATTATTTTGGATTCTCTGATGAATATAATGACAAGCATCTTTCTTAAAGTGAGATTTGAATTTTTACCTATGTGGGATTAGGCAGATAATAATATAACACTATTCTTAAATAACTTGAAACCACTGAATTTTTGCAATCACTTTGAATGATAGCTATGTGTGGTTAACAACCTTTTGTCAAAAATAAAAATGTTCCTATTGAATAATAATTGTAGGATTGAATTTTCTCTTCTATCTTCTTGTACAATAACAGATATTGCTATATATATACACTAAAATGATCATCAATTTTAAGTACACAATTTAAAAATACTTTATTCTGAGACTGTCAACAATATCAAAATACACTCTACATTTTGACATACAATCATGTCATCTTCAGGAATGTAAAATCAAAAACAGTGCAAATGCCGTTAGTCATGTGACTACTTAATATACATACTGAACTTAAATAAGATCACACCATCTGCATACTTTCTGACTTGACAACCATTCATCCTTATTAAAGATATGATAATCGTTTTTAGTGTGTTTCATTATTTATACAGATTCTCTGATATTTATAGCCATCATATCATTCAGTTGAGCTAAAATAACAGATTTTTTTTTCCACTGGATGATATTACCTGTATGACTTTGTTAGTATGACAAATGTATACACAACCACATTCACATTCAATTTTGTAAATACCCATTTTCTCTATTATATTAATTACATCTTTGGTTTTATTTAACACTTGAATAATTTAATTCAAAAGGTCTATAAACTGGAATAAGGTTTTATTTTGTTTTTTAAACTTATTAAAAATTTGACATGATGAACCCGAGCAGTAACATACTTGGATGTGAATATAATTTCTGAATGAAAGTTTAATTCAGATATTTAGAATATTACATCTTTTTGGTACTGAGAATGACTGAGTAAAAAATTCACCTTTAAATTAGGCCTTCAAAGTTTGAATATTAGACTACAGTGTTTGCTATGTAACTAGTTATATACCTAAAGAATAAGGTTGTTATATATGATATATGCTAGATTTTATCATTTTCCTAAACTGAAAATGTATTTCCAAACATACTTACCTCCACTGACACTAATAGCTATTTCTCGATCTTCATCTTTGCCATCTGATGTTGTGCTTGCTTGCTCTAGTCTTTATATATTCCACTCGACTGCCCTCGGCAATATCTAATTTGCAAAACTTCACTCCAGCCCTCACACGCCCTCTATGTAGGTACTGTATATAAGCACTGTATGCAGACAATAAAATCAGTTTTTCGAGAATTACCTCATTCTGGTCACTAACACCGGCTCTTAGTTGGGAGGGAGAGTGTCAGCGGAGGTAAGTATGTTTGGAAATA